TATGCTCTTGCAGGAGCATCACATATTTTAGCATTTAAATAAACTGAATAATGTTTTCTTAATTAGTTTAATCCCATACACATTAAATTTTTCATTTTGTCAATAAAGTTTTTTAATTACTCGGTAACTGATAACGGCTTTTATGTTCCAGAATATAGTCCTATAACAAATATAGGACTTTGAGGTAGCTGTAAAATGTTTCCTAATAAAGGCCAGAGTTGCATTTTTGCGCTCTTAAAAAGAGGAAGTCCATCAAAATTGACGTTAATAAAAATTTTATCATCAATAGTTAATTCACAATACTGTTGTAACAATATTAATATACTATTTTTGATACCACAATGATAGTAGTTTCCCCCTGAAATTTGCTGCAGCTGAACAGAATTCGCAGTACTAAGTTGAAAAATGAGTTAGCCAAACCCAAATGAGTAAGAAAAAACTGCTTTGGGTTTAATGATTTGTTTTTTATTTGGTGGAGAACAGTTTTGGTATAAAGCATTACCAGTAATAAGTTTAGATGCTAATTTTCAATACAATCAAACAGAGCAAACAATTTAAGCGATAAAAAAATATGGTGGTTTTGGCGACAATAATAAAATGAATAAAAAGTTTTTTGGAATGTTCAATCTCCGTAATACTTAGTGTACTAATGATAACATTTTCCTTCTTTAGTTCATTTAATAAAATCTATTCGTAAAATCTATTCATAGAAAAATCCCAAGAACTATGCTTTACTTACAAAGGTATTTCAAGAACTGCAAAATGGTCAGATCTTAAAAAAACATTTTCTATTTGAAAAAGATGCTATTGTGAAACTGTCTCAACTTAATGAAACAGCAGTTTTTCCAAACCAATTGAACGTCAAAATGTGTCAACTTGTTTAAAAGTATTTTTTATGAGACTGTAACTGCTATAAAAACTCATCAATCCATAAAAAATGTCGAAAACACCATTGTTTTTATCTATTTTCATAGAATTTTTAAAAATTAAAAATGTTAAAGGACTATGAAGATATTTGTACTAGAGATAAATATCGTGCTGTTTTTTCATCAAACAATGATAAACGATTAAACTTTCTTCTATACAAAAACGTTCTATGTCACAAAAACTATTCTTTCGGGAAACGAAAAAAAAACAATTTAAATCAAAAATTATTACTTTAATAAATATAAAAAAAAAAAGTTTCAGCTCTCTATTCAACGTGTACGGAAAGGTCTGACTTGGAATATTTTACTATACAATGATGGAACTGTCTTCAAAGAACAAATTTTCATCAAAGTCAAATATTAAAAAAAAATGACTTGAAGCGTTTTAGTCTACATTGATTCAAGTAGTGATTTTGGATCTCATGGTAGTTACAAACCTGCAAATCTGAGTATCTGCAAGAGATCTGACATTGCTGCATGAGAAATTTTATTTTTTATATCAAACTTTATATCAAATATTTAACGTTGATAAAGCACAAAAAAATGTCGACGAATCTGTAATAGATGAAGTAAGGAGGTAGCAGCAACTAAAATTTATAAAAAAAAAAAATTCTAATATATACAGTGTCGTACGCAATTAAACAGTTTTCAACAAACATTAAATTAATAAAATAATAAAACACCCTGCATAACTTAAAAAAAAGAGTATTCAAGGTTGAAACATTGGGTCCTTATGCAAATATGTATTTTTCTTGTTCGATGGTATTAACAACGTAATGTTACAAAGGTTTTTAAAGGAGACGAAAATCAAAATGTTGCATTTGGGCTTTTACAAATGTTAAGTTTGTTTGTGAATCAAAACGAAATCTAACAATATTTTTTATTGCTGTAATGTGCTTAGAATTGGCATAGTCAGAATTTGAAGGAAAAAAACAAAAATTAAGTATATCTACAGTTAACAAAAAAACATTATTCTATGGTATTAAGAAATAAAGTTGAAACTAAAAGAGCTGTTACAAAAAAAAAAAAAAAAAAATAAAAGACTTGTGAATGCCAAAAGTTCAAACAAATGTATGAATTTAGAGTAAAAGTAAAACTTTGGAAAGCCAGCTTAAAAAAACTCGATAGCTTTTTTAATAAAGTCTAATGTATTATAAAAAAAATTGTTGAACTAAATTTGAATTTTTCACTCAAGTTAACTTTAATGTGTTAATATTTTTTGTATTACGCGTCATTTCCTAGACAGCAAGGATATAGTGGACCCGCACTGGTCTTATATAGGCTGCCGCGCTGGACCGGCTTCGGCTGCCAACGCTGGCGAAGCTCCGTTTTGCTCTAAGAATTTTTTCATGGACCAGCTGTGGCTAGCCAATGACGGCAAAACAGCGGCTAGCCAATGCGGGACAAGAACTGGCAAAACAACGCTGAGCCATTTTTACATACATATTTTACATACGAATTTTACCGTACTATCGTGATTTTGTCTTTGTTAACTAACTGGGTCGCGCATGTGATTGTTATGGATTTTCATTGGGCAATCCTATTTGAAGTCCCTATACTTTCCTTTTAGACCCCGTCTTCTTAATTATTCAAAGTTTTTTTTAGCATAATCGACTATAATTTTTTTGGTTTAACATTGGCGTATTTTTCATGAGTTTAAGGACAATAAAATGTATTAAACACATGATTATTGACAATTTTAATTACTATGTTAAATATAAAAAACAGGCTTAAATTTTAAATATATTTTCGCAACTATAATACAAAGATTTGACTCATAACGATTTGACAATGGTGCTTTTCTGCGATTCATATCCAATCGTCAATATGATTCGTTAACTTTCTGCTTCAATTTGTAACGTTATTTTCTTCTTTATCTTGCATCCGTTTTAACTTAATAAAATAAAAACAAACATAAGCACAGCTTAATAATTTATTACATATATACTTATACAATATAGTATTAACATATATAGAAAATGTTCACAACTTATAAACAACATAGTTATTATGTTACAATAACAATTATTTTTATTATTGACGAAAAAGTTCAATCCATTAACAAAAGTTCAATCCATTAACATAGACTTGAGACAAAGTTATAAAAAGATCCTTAACCTTTTTATAACTTTGTGAACTAAATTGTAATGAATACCACAATGAAAATTTACAATTACAACCAAATGCAGGATACTTACAATTATATATATTAAAACATGTGGTACTTCAATTATTTTGGACCAAAACTTCATTGAAAAAGTCTTGAGATTTCACCTTTCATGATATTTAATTTAATTCACAGCAGATTCTAAATATAACACACAATTTATCATTTTATTATAAATAGATAACTTTAAAATGTTGCCACAGTATTATTACAATTTAAAGCATCTTAAACATTTTTTAATTTAAAATCTGTTTAGGCGGTTCTCGATGACAAGACCTTATGACCTTCTGCGAGTATCTGTGTTCTTATCGTAGAGTTAATAAAATTTGTAACTCTTATTGTATGTATTTTATTCATTGTTTTATTGTAAAAGTTATTTGAATAAACAAAAAATAAATAAAAAATTTAAAAATAAAAATTAAAATGCCTCTCAATCTTCCTAAATATTTTTATACACAGAAACTATTTTATAAAACACAGTAAATCTAGTCATTAGTAGTGACGTAAATTTTCCAGTAAAATTTGATTTAAAATTTACCGGTAAATTTTAATTAGAGAACAGTAAATTTTCCTTTAGAAAATAAAAAAAAAAAAAAGAATAAATGAAAAAAAATTTTAAAATTTACCAGGCGGTAAATTTTCCGGTAAATTTTACCTTTGCAACATTACACCTTTTCTGGATCAATTTAAAAGAAATACGAATCAATTTAAAAGAAATACGAATCAATTTAAAAGGAATACGAATCAATTTAAAAGAAATACGAATCAATTTAAAAGAAATAAAAATAATTTTAAAATGAATGCATAAAAATTTATTTTCAACGAAAATATACAGTATACTTATTTGTTTAAAGTTGACCGGTGGTGGAAGTGACGACATTGCGAAGTATACAAATCTTCACCGAGCGCTTTCAGGTGGGTGTTTGAATTTATTATCCTTCATAGTGGGAGTTTTTTGTGAATTTATGTTTGATTTTAATATCCGTCATTTTGTGAATTTATGTTAAAACAGAATAATTTTTATGATTCATACCAACATTAAATTGATACTTACCAGGAAGCAATTCATAGCCTGCCTGTACACCTACCATAAGGTATTTAAAAGCTTAAAATTTAGAGTATTTTTAAATTGTTTAGAATTTAGGAATCAAGGATTCTTTTAAGGAAATGTTATCCTATACTTAAATAAAAGGATTTTTAAAAATTCACAAGAATTTTTGTGTGAGGCATTTTAGATTAATTAAGCATAAATTACCCCAGGTATACAGTAGTGACTGCATTGGCAAGTCTCACTATCCCGGTGAATTATTTTTATGATTCATACCAACATTATGCCCTACATGCTTGCTAAACTTGATACTTGCTAAGGACAAAATAAATTTAATGCTTGCCAGGGGATGAAATAACAAGGGTTTGTTTGCGAATTTTCCAAAATCGTAAATAAGGGACCTTTTTCAGACGGTGTTAGGACTGAAAAAGCGCTTTTTAAAAAAATGTTTTTTTTTCTCACATTCAGAATGACTTGATCGAGTGGCTATTGGATGAACCTCTTGCGTGACAACAATAATGACACTTCCACAAATGATGCAGAATCAACTGGCGATGTAAGTCAAGCGCCAATTTCAAGAAAGGGTGTTAAGAAGGGGACCAAGAGGGGCAAATATGAGAAATCAACGCCAACAGTTCGCCGTCGAGTCATTGCAGCTGCCGGAAACGGAGACGACTGGATATCGGTGGCGGTAGCCAATGGAGTCAACCAGTCTACAGCGTACGTGTGGGTGAAGAAGGGCACCTGGATCCAGAAACATCGAGGCGACAGGGTTTAACAGCGTGTCAAGATTGAAGCTCACCACGAAGAAGCTCTCATCCACATGCTCAAAGAAAATCCTCAGCTGACGTTAAAAGAAATGACCGCCAAGTTGCTCGCAGACTTTGCTGTGAATGTGGCGTCCCAGACCGTAGCTGAACATTTGAATGGCCGCATGCTGTTCTCGCTAAAACAAATTCATCTGCAACCAGATGCTGCTAATTCGCTAACCAACAAACTCCTTCGTCGCGAGTTCCTTGAGAAACTTATGCAGGCTACGGGCATTGGAAAATTTATAGCGTACGTGGATGAGAGCAATGTAAACCTTTTTATACGACGTACTCATGGACGAGCCAAGGTGGGAAATAGAGCTGTGGTGAGATTGCCTTCCAGTAAAGGTGCCAATGTGCACATGATAGGGGCCCTCACACAAATGGGTTTGATGAACTTCACGTGTCGTGGAGGGAATTACAAGATGGCTCAATGCAATGATTGGCTCAAGCAGCTGCTTCAGGGAATTGTGGCACAAGGCATTCCTTCTACGAATATCGTTGTGGTGATCGACAACGCTCCATGTCACGCAAGAGCCAACGAGGCCGTAATGGATTTCCAGGGTGCTACAATCCTCCGTTTAGCCCCATATTCTCCGATACTTAACCCCATTGAGGCTGCGTGGTCTGTTATTAAGTCGGAACTGAAGAAGAGAAAAGCGGCTACTTTTCAGCAAGTCATTGCAGGGAATCACAATGGTCTCACTCAGACCGAGTGGCGTATTCGATATGTGGAGGATCTCATTGACAAAGCGCGCCTCAAAATTACACCTCTCATGTGCCTCCAGTTTGTGAACCATGTGCAAACTTTCTACGCGGACATCATAGCACTGAAAGACATGCTCCCTGGACAATAAGGCAGAGATATATTTTTAAGATCTCATACATTCTAGATTGTTGATTTATATATACTGTTTCATAGTTCTTATTATGTAAAACCTTATTGTAAAGTTGAGGTAGTTCGAAAGCATCTGTTACAAGAAAGTACTTTTAAATTGATTCGTATTTCTTTTAAACTGATTTGTATTTCTTTTAAATTGATTCGTATTTCTTTTAAATTGATTCGTATTTCTTTTAAATTAATTCGTATTCCTTTTATATTGATTCGTATTCCTTTTAAATTGATCAAGAAAAGGTGTAGTCATTAGTAATAGTAAAAACAGTTTAGTGCAATCTGACTTGGTTTTTTCAGTAGATTTTTATCCTAAAATAGGTTACCCTGATATTGTAAGTTATTTAATGTTTGCTCCATCTCCTATATCCGCTAATGAACTTAAGTGCTATAAAAGTTTGGAGTCATATAATTTTTTCCTCTCTGGTTGGGTCAAGGAAATCGGTTTAAAGTTATTTGATGAAAAATGTTTGGTTATTGGAAAGGTAACAAATTTTTATATTTGTATTTTATTAAAAAAAAGTTTAACGTTAAATTAAACATAGTTTTATTTTATCATATTGCAGGTTTATCATTCTCAAAAGCATAAAGAAACGGCAGCTTCAACATGGATTATTTCTGAAATGGATGGTAAAGTAATATATGCTCATTGTAACTGCATGGCTGGTCTCGGAGAGGCATGTTCTCACATTGGAGCAGTTTTATTTTATATTGATGCTGCTGTCAGAATTCGTGATTCTAAGACAGTTACAGAAAAAAAAGCATATTGGATGCTTCCATCTTCAATCAAAGATATTCCATATGCAGAATGCATTGATATAGATTTTACCTCCCCAAATACTTTAAAACGAAAATTTGATGAAGAAATATTAAACGAATCTACCTGTAGTGGATTTCTAAATGATAAAAAAAGCGATGCATTATCAAGTAGTTATAATTGCACTCCTCCAACTCAGAATGAACTTGATGCATTTTTCAATGATCTGAGCCTCTGCAAGTCAAAGCCAGCTATTTTGTCGATTATATCCCCTTACAGTGTAGATTACCAACCCTCATCGTTAAAATTGCAATTTCCAAAAATGTTGCGGGAACTTTATGATTCTTCAGCCTTATCTCTTAGTTACCTAGATTTATGTAAACAATGTGAAACTTTAAGTTTGTCTGTATCGGAGGTTGAGCAGTTTAATGTTGAGAAAGCTACAAGAGAGCAAGTTTTTTCAAAAAAATGGTTTTATTTTCGAGCAGGGAGAATTACAGCATCAAACATGTATAGTGTATTACACACGCTTGAAGCCATGCCTGCCTTATCATTAATTAAAAAAATTTGTTACCCTGAAAGTTACAAAGTTAGTTCATGTCAAACTAAATGGGGAATAGACAATGAAAAGATTGCTTTAGCAAAATATTTTGATATTGTAAAACATCATCATGTTAATTTCAAAATTATAAAGTGTGGTTTTTTTATATCGACAGAGTATCCTTTCATAGGTGCTTCTCCAGATGCTTTAATATCTTGTGAATGCTGTGGTGAAGGATGTGTTGAAATTAAAAATCCTGCTAACCATAAAGACAATTTTATATTAGAAGCTATTGGTAAAGATAAGACATTTTGTATACAAATAATGAACACTGAAAAAAAGCTTAAACAAACACACCCATATTACTTTCAAATTCAAACTCAGTTGCATACATGTAAAAAAAAGTTTTGTGATTTTTTTGTAAATACATCTAAAGATTATCACTTAGAAAGAGTTTATCCAGATAATTCTATATGGACAGCCTGCGTTACTAAGTGTCAGCAAGTATTTAGCAGTTCTATCTTGCCAGAATTAGTTGGTAAATTTTTTACAAGAGATACCAAAAATATGGATTTTGACTTTATTGATGATCACAGTTTATATTGTTATTGTAATGGCAATGAAAATGGTGAGTTATTTCCTTGTGCAGGAAAGAGTTGCAAAATTAAACTTTTTCACTTGGTATGCCTAAAATTGAATAATAAACCAAAAAAGAATTGGCTGTGTCCTGATTGTCATAAAAAAAATATTTAGT